GTTATACAACCTCCGTACCAAATCTCATTTGTCAGCAATCAGCAACCCAACTTGAAATATTGACAAAATTGGCGCGCACCCCACATCGCGCCTATGGAGATGAAATATAGTGATAAACAAGCACTAACGTACTCGCAGACTGGCAATAACATAAAAACAAATCATGTCACAGGGGCCTACACCCACCTCGACGGTGGACACAGCACAGCTGTGATAGACTTGGCCGTAACGCTTCGATTATTTGCTGAATTAACACCTTTGCAGAGATTCAAGATTCAGCAAGCATGTAGCTCTTTCGATTGTGGAGAACGCAGCATCAGGGTGACACAATTTGCTTTGAACACTGCTCTTGTACTTCCCTTATTAACAGCTCTTTTAACAGGGAAACATGGATCAGTGGCCTCCTGAAAAACACGCAGAGCTCCAAAGAAGAGTAAAGGAGGAACTTGCGAGAAAGACCTTCATAATAGAATCGTCACCGTCGAAATACACAGAAGCACAGATCCGGCAAAAAATAAAATTTAATGGCGACAAGTGCAATGAATTCGATGATCGGCTGAACAGGCAAAGTTAGACCTTATCGCTATTAAGCAAAGGAGATGGGAAACATCCTACACAACATCGGATTCGTTGCGTTATATACTGGAATCCAAGGAACTTCGTGCGCGGCATATCGAGGAAAAGAGAGAGTTGTATTCGTGGTCAGACCAACTACTCGTCGCCCATGAATGGTATGAAATCTTGATAGGGGCGGACGAAGCTGAAGAAATCGACAGAGTCATGTTTTTGAACGAGTTAGAAGAAACGGTGGTCCAGGTGCCCACACGACCTGGGGAGCTTGGTTACCCAGAACCGAAGCAGGTCCTAGGAAAATACAAACAGGACACAATAGGGTCAATCCTGGACAGATTTCGCATAGGATACAACGCTCTCCTACACGACGAAGCCAAGGAAACCTATGAGGTGGAACAAGAAATTAAGAGGGGCAACGAAAGCGAGTGTCGTCTACTCCAGGAAATGTATGGCGCCCTCACAGGACTAGAAACGGAGCTGCAGTGCCAACGGGAGGCCCGGGAGTGGTCTCAGGAAAACTTTCAACTGGGACATGCAGCAGCTCAGGGCGTCGATCGGCGACTTTCGAGAGGAAGTAATGCGTCAAAGGCATGACTCCGACAGAAACATCAGGCAGTGGAATGATAGCTCTTTTAAAGAAGTCAGAGTCCATTGCTCAGTTGAGATTCGAGATGCACTAACAGCAGGAAAAGATACGAAGATGGTTTGAGACCTTATACGAGGATGTAAAAGAAATAGTGACACAGGAGAGGAACAAAGGCGCATAGACCGTGAAAGAGGAGATCGAGGCACAGCGTGGATATCTGCACCAAGAGATGTCACGCCTAGAACAGCAGTTCGTCGGCTTAGCACCCCAGATTAAGGAAGAAGCGGAACTCAGGCGCAAGGAAGCCAACGACTGAAACGACTGAAGATAAGATTACAGTACGAGGACAGGACCGACAACGACAGAGGATCACAGAGAGATAGCAGCACGGACGTGAGGAACCAACCCGCAAAAGCAGCTCTTAAACGTACTACACATGTTCCAAGAATGAGTTCGCGAGAAAGACAGCGAAGGACACGGAGATGCTCGTGACCAGAGGGAAGCCCGAAAGAGAAAGCGGTCAATCTCGGAAGCGACAACCCGAGCACAGCTGAGACAGAAGTTAACACGCTCATTGACGAGTACACATGGGAATGGGAAAGGCTACAGCAGAAATTACATCCGCTGTAG